CTACTTACCTGACCAAATATCCCAGAAGTTTAATTAACTTGATGCTATACTCTGATTACAAAGTGATCCTTTAAGTTTTTTGAGTAGTGTCTATATATATATATATATATATATATATATATATATATATATATATATATATATATATATATATAAAGGGTTAAAAATGACTGAGAATGAAGGAGAATCAACACGTGGTCCTCACTACATTAGCAAGAGCAAAAAGTGTGTGTGTTTAGGAGGCAGTAATTATGGTCTGCAGCAGGGCTGTAGTTAGAGCCTGCAGAGGAACGTCTCAGTTGTTCTGAAGGAGTGCAAGTCTTTCTAAAGGCTGCATTGTTTCTATGCTGTTAGATCTGAGCTTGATTCTCTTTGGACCTGTTGTGTTTTTTCCCTTTGAACAGGGTTTCAGCATCTCCTCACATTGCAGCTCTCAGTGAACCAGAGTCAGAATCTGGGCCCGTGTATCGTTTACACTGGGTGGGGCCGAGGGGTGCAGTCTGTTTCTGGGGGATCTGTTTTCCAGATGTGGCAGCCTGGAGCTGCAGATGGCTGCTGGGTGGAGTCGCGTTTTAGACCCGGTTCAGTTTTGATAACTAACACAAAGACACACATGTTGTTCTCAGTGTTCAGACCTTTGCTGCTGTGAGGCTACTGCGGCACCCAGAGGGGAGGTCCAGGGGACTGGATTATCCTGCTGTTTGGGCCAGTTTTCACACCGTTTCTAGATCTAGACTGAACAGAATCTGGTCAGAGTTGGTGATATATTTACTGGAGGAGAGGTGGAATCTTCAGATGTTATATAAAATAAAATTTTATTATTTAATTTTATTATAAGTTTTATTTTATAAGTTTCTGCAGCAGCAGCGAGTGGATTAGAGACCAAACATCTGCAACCACTGATCTGATTGTTCTGTTTCTAAAATCAGAAATAGTGCTGAATACCAGAGATATTAAGATCAAAGATAAAATGCCGTTAGGGGATTGGGTCTAACTGCACCCCTTTTTGGGGGATCGGTGGTCAGAGGGTCTGCTTTCAGAAAGGAATCCTCATCTTCTGCGGTCATGTGGTAAATAAACAAATGTTCAAAAGCTCAATGAAAATATCTTGATTGAAAAGGGATGGATGCTGTCGTTGTTTTATAAGTTCACCTGTCAGCACCATAATAATAATAATAATATAATTGATCTTTATTGATATCACATTGGAGACATTTACCTCTGCATTTAACCCCTCCCCT